AAAAACGATAAAGAAAAGAAAAATGCGTGGCATTCGTTCTAACAAACCATTAATCACTTCAAGTGATATAGAGTTCCATTCCTGTTGTAAAATGTCCCATAACTGATTTCGATTCGAAATATCAGAGCATCGTTTGCAAGAGCAAACAAATTTTCGATGAAATGTGACATCTATGAGATATTGTTTTAATTATATTCATAATAAATTCTTTGTAATAACAAAAATTAAAACAATGAATAAGAATATTTGTTTTATAATCAATATTAATTATTTGAAAATATAGAAAGCATTAAAATTAAAAAGTTCTCTGGTGGAAGATGTATAGACCAAAAGACCGCATATGTGGAATGCTCAAAATCGAGAAAAGTACACAAGTTTTTCAAAATTCTATAACTTCGTCAAAAAAAATCAAATCGATCTGAAATTTTGAAGGCTTACATAGAACGGTTCAGACAACTATTTTCTATCCACAGAAAGTACCAAAATTTTTTTTGCAAGTTTGGCAAGTGTTCAAACGTAACAACTTTTTTCACCATAGAAACAACCCATGATGAAAAGCTGGATTCAGTTCGTAAAAAACGAAGTATTGCAATTTGATCATATGTAACTAAATGTAGAGGGTTCACTTTAGAGCATATCAAATTTTCGTGCAATTTGAATGATTTTTCGCAGTTCTATGAACATTTGAATTTAGACCATTTTTTTGTAGATTTCAAAATTTTCGCAAACTTTTGACCGGTAGTGTATATATAATTTTAATGCGGTTTTTTAATTAATTAGGTGCTATATCAACTAGTGTTTCCATTCAAGCTGAACCACAAATATCTTGTTCTTATGGTTATGATATCTCATTAATGTTGAGCAAGTTAGTACGATATTATGGTTCTATCGGCTCAAAATTTCAAACTATGTTGATATGTACGAAATTATAAAATATTTCTAGGTTTGGATTGGTCGAAATCCCATATGCGTCAAATCTTTTAAATTATTTTAAGCTTTTTTTTTCTATTGTCATGACTAGATTAAAAATTTTAAAATTTAATTTATAAGAAGTTTTGTGGTTAAATGAAACTAAATTTAGTTTCATTGTTATAACTCAAACTCAATATTTAGTGAGCGAAATAGAATTTATTAAACAAACATAAAATCCTTGGACATTCGATATTTAATGGGAACCTGAACTCTAATACATATTTCTCTTGAATCTTCTTAAATATAAAAATCATCTAGATAATAAATA